AAAAAAGTTAATTATTATTATTACAATCAGAGTGTTTTATTGGTCTATTTTCAAGGATTTTTTTTTTTTTTTTCTTGACATTGAAGTGTAATCCAAATTTAGGGCTGTGGTCTTTGGTCTTCATCAGTAAGTACTTTAAGTCCTCTTCCCTTCCAGCAAGTAAGGTTGTAACATCAGCATGTTGCAGGTTGTGAATGAGTTTTCCTCCAAACTTGATGCCATGTTCTTCCTCATATAATCCAGTTTCTCTGATTATTAGCTCAGCATACAGACTGAGCTACTCTGTCCCTTGGCCTTAGATTAGGAGGCGGCGCGGTTTTATTGCTCAGCCATGGCCAAGATCAAGGCACGGGACCTTTGCTGCAAGAAGAAGGAGGAGCTGCTGAAACAGCTGGACGACCTGAAGGTGGAGTTGTCCCAGCTGTGCGCCGCCAAAGTGACTGGCGGTGCGGCGTCCAAGCTCTCTAAAATCCGAGTTGTCCGCAAATCCATTGCCTGGGTTCTAACTGTCGTTAACCAGACTCAGAAGGAGAACCTCAGGAAGTTCTACAAGAGCAAGAAGTACAAACCCAAGAAAACGTGTGCCATGCGCCGCAAACTTAATAAGCACGAGGAGAACCAGAAGACCAAGAAACAGCACCAGAAGGAGCGACTGTACCCACTATGGAAGTACAAAGTCAAGGCCTGAGCATCTTACATCAATAAATACAAACTAGCTAACTTCTCCCTCCTCTCTGCCAAAAAAAAAGGCTATAACACTGGTACACCCCTTTATTGATTTTAAACCATTCAATATCCCCTTGTCCTGATATAACGAATGCCTCTTGATCTATGTACAGGTTCCTCGTGAGCACAATTAAGTTTTCTGGAATACAAATTCTTTGCAATGTTACCCATAGCTTGTCATGATCCACACAATCGAAAACTTTTGTGTAGTCAATAAAGCACAAGTAAACATCTTTCTGGTATTCTCTGCTTTCAGCCAAGATCCACCGGACATCAACGATAATATCCCTAGTTCCACATCCTCTTCTGAATCTGATTTGACTTTCTGGTAGTTCTGTTAATGTACTGCTGCAGCTGATTTTTTGGTTTTGTTTTTAAAGTTTTTATTGTAAATTGAGTTAAATTTTGCAGGGCAGATCATCACTTTTACATTCAACAAACTGTATACTTTGTTTCATTACAATGATTATAATCCTCTCCATGTACCATCAGTTAACAGCATTTCTCTCTATTCATTTTAGTTTTTTTTTTCTTCTTTTTCTAAGCACTCAGGCATATATAATAATTTGCACCAACAAAGGGCAAATTCTGCAAGTCTGCCTCCTGGCCGCCAGGTCTCAATCCCTTTCTATCCATGAATTTAGAGTCCCCATCTCTGCCTCCATTTCTGGTGTTGAGGCTTCTCTGGATAGGGTCTTGCATTCTGCTTGTGCTCTTCTCCCTTGATGGTCCTAGGGTCCTCTGTTTCTGGACTGTAAGATTAATTACTCCCCCATTTTTGTTACCAAACTTCTACCTTTACAATTGGGACAGTCGCAATTAGTCACGATAACAATTACTCACTATTGAATCAGAAGAATCTTATCCCCATCTCTTTTATCCAAACCCATCTAGACACAGAAGAGTGTTCCTTGGAGGCCAAGATGGCCAAACTTCATCTCTCATACTTCAGACATATTGTCAGGAGGAACTAGTCCCTGGAGAAGGATATCTGTTTGGTAAGGTGGAGGGTCAGAGAAAAAGAGGAAGACCCCCCATCGAGGTGGATTGGCCAAGTGGCAGCATCATGGACTCAAGCATGGCAACAGTAGTGAGGTTGGCCCAGGATTGGCAGTGTTTTGTTCAGCTGTGCATAGGGTCGCTATGAGTCAGTACCGACTCGATGGCACCTAACAATAACAACATCTAGACAAGATGAAAACTATTTAGTGGGGACTCTATCTTCCCAGACACACTTTTAAACTAAACTCCTTATTGAAACCTTGTAAGCCAGTCACTTTGTGCCTTTATCACCCCTCCATTGTAAGTAGCCAATGTCTAAGTTGCCTGTCCCTATTTACCCTGTGTACAGAGGATATAGCACTGATACTTGATGTGAATACGCCTTTCCTCTCTGTTGGTATTTTGAGCTACTACTTCCATGAGTATAGGTCAAACTCATCAAATTGTAGCAATTTACTCTCATTTCCTTTATCAAAAAAAAATTTTTTTTTTTTTATCTTTCTCTAGTCGAGTTCTGATTGTCAAGCTATCAAGGCTAGGTCAAATGGGCACTATCTGCAAGTTTGGGTGTTTTTGTGTGTCTCCCCTCACTTCATATCAGCTGCATACTTCACTCTCAGCTCTAGCCCTCTGTGGCTATGTCCTTGTTCATGGGCTCAGGTGTCCCCCGGTCTCATCATACTTTGGACCAACCACCCCTTCCTCTTCTCTCACTCATCTCCAGATCAATGGGAGTCTATGGAACATGGTTGAACTCAGCCATTTCTTCACTGCTGCCTTTTCGTCTCTTCCACTCACCAGTAGACCAATGTGATTGTCAGCAAGCTTACATGCATGCTCATGTGATCCCTTTGAGTTTCAGTCTTAGAGGGGGGGTTGTCCTGAAGGGACTTGATTGCTTGCCTTGATGACTTACCAGCGAACAACTTGCTTGTTCTTGTAGTAGCCAGTCATACTGCCATTTTTATTTTGGGTTTTTCCTGCTGATCTTTCTTTGAAGATGT